ATTTGAAAGATAGTCACCTCAGAAGTGAAGTAGAAATGAACTTGGCATTTATGCCTCAAACCATTTTGATACTGTTTGGCAATCAGCTTTTCAGAGGTAGCATTTTATAAAATAACTCTCACCGCTTAAAAGTTTCATTCACTGTAATGTTCAAAATGTCCCACCTTTATATTATCAGTAAAATTAAGCTTGAGTGATATGCAGAATTTGCATGAAATAAGCATTTCCCCCTTCATTTCATGAGCTTTGATTGTATTCAATTGAGCTCAGAACCACGTCTATTAGGGCTCTTTTGGGCATTAGTTAATTTGAATTGCAGCCGAAATGTTAGCTAGAATGTTGTTGAATATAATTGGACTGTGGAAAGTTGATTTTGAAAGGAGTTTCATTGAATGCAAACAATGATGTGCTTTTTAAAAATTAGAATGCTGCTCTTTCGTCTCTTGTAACACAGTCTGAGAAATCACGGCGTCCCTTTATGAAAGTTCAGCTTTGGCAGTGCTGTTTACAATTGTTCGGGTCCCTCCGGTACCAGTGTGCTTCGGAGTCAGGTCCTTCCTCCGACCAGCAAGTGGCCCCCCATGCCCAAGCCCCGCACTCTGGCTCTCTGGCAGTTGGGGAAGCTGCTTTCTAAAAGGGCAGCCCGAGTTGCACTTGGACATCTGGCTTCGTAAAGTGGCACAGATTGCTACATTGTCTCTTAGCTTTTATTTTGCTTTTCGGGTTTTTTTTTTTTGTCTTGAAACAGCTCTTGAGCAAACCGTCTAAAGTGATCCATGAAAATATTTGGAATGGATCATAAATGACTACCAGTATGTTGTGATAGGGAAAAAAAACATATATATATACCAGACAGGAAATCCAGATTCTAAGATTTTTTTTTTATTTATTTATTTATTTATTTATTTATTTATGATAGTCACACAGAGAGAGAGAGAGAGAGAGGCAGAGACACAGGCAGAGGGAGAAGCAGGCTCCACGCACCGGGAGCCCGACGTGGGATTCGATCCCGGGTCTCCAGGATCGCGCCCTGGGCCAGAGGCAGGCGCCAAACTGCTGCGCCACCCAGGGATCCCAGATTCTAAGATTTTTAGTCCTGTGTCTGGTACTCACAAGTTGTGTGCCCTTGGGCAGATCATTTGACTCCCTGTTCTTCAGTGTCTTCATCTGACAAATGGAAAGGCTGGGCTAGTTCAAGTCGGTAATGCCTTTCAACCTGAATGCCACATGATTTTAGCCTTTATAGCACCTATAAAATTGAAGTTTTACTTGGAGATTTTGTAGCATACAGGAGAGGAACTGCCATGTTTTTCTTGAGTACTAAATATCAATTCCTTATTTGTGGTCACTGCCCTTAGATGAGGAATTAAAGCAGAAAAATTGAACAAAATGGTAGTATACTGCAATTCCTACTGGACTGTTACATTTCAGCACCTGCGACTTTACCTTGGGCGGGGGGAAGCTCTAACCTGGAACCTGCCACTGTGGCTGCCTGGAGCAAGAGCCTGGGTTCTTGGCACCATCACTGATGGCACTCTCTGGCTCTTCCCATGAGATGGGGATGGAGTGAGAATGAGCAGAGGAAGGGCCCTCATTCCAGAAGGAGTTCTAGGTAGCTCCCCGTGGGAACCAGGAATAGGTCTAATGTGTCAAATCCAGAGGAGCTACCAGTCACAAAGGGAAGAACAGCAAGCAATAGCTTGAAGGGACAGACTCTAAAAGATGCACCTGAAAACGGAGTTAGAAAGAAAGAAACCAGTAAACATGCCAAAAATAACCTGTGGCATCATTATCCTATTTCTAGAAGACCCCTTGAATAAGCAGCATGGCACCATGAAAGAAGGCAGGAAAAGGGAGCTGACTCCTAATTCTTCTAGCTCTGCCGCTGATGGGCTACATATGATTTAGGCCAGATTCTCCCCTCCAAAGGGACCAGTTGGACTCGATGATTGTCATAACCCCTTTTAGCTTTAACCCATTGGGATTCCATCCAAGTCAGTGGTCATTATCCTGGAGAAATCAGTTACTCTGACTCTCAACACAGAGATTCAGAGAAACTGCCCACTGTGCCAAGTTCAGCAATAATCAACAAAGGAGTTCTCAAACTAGCCTACAGGTGACTTAATGATAGATTAAGCTGCAGTTGAGAATCTTACTTCAGGCGAGAAGAGCAATTCTTTGGACTGAGATAATTCCAGGCCAGTTTCATCAAGGCTTCTGAGTTTTCAGTTCAGTCGGCATCCAGTTGTTTTTTGTTTTTTGTTTTTTGTACCTGTGCCCTGAGAGCACTTCCTGGAAGTTTTCACCTCCAGTTGATGCAGAAAGCTTTTTAAGGATGTGTTCATCACTCCTTGACTTGCAGACATACCACCGGGGTAGTTCTGCAGAAGTGATGAAGGTCAGTGTGAGTTGATGGAAGTTGCTCCCCTAGAATGAGGTGAGGCTTCCTTTGCATGCTTAGAGCAGAGGTGGGCTCTGAACCAAGACGGCAGAGCCAGACGGGTGACCGGCCTGCAGACTACTGTGGCTTTGACTGGAATGGCCTAGCTAGGCAGGCGCTTCATTTCCTGGAATTCCCTTGCCCCTTTGTTTCCAGGTTAGGTTTGACCACAAGAAAACTTTGCATGAGATTTTGGATGAAGAGGTGACAGTAGTCATTTCTCTTTTGTTTTGTCTTGAAGGCTCCAAAGGTCCATCTAGGGCAGGTGCTGCTACAGTTCATATGAGGTGTCACCTAGCTGGCATGTGATAGCAACTGGCCTACAGTTTTTCCAGCTCCACACCCCGCCTCCCCAGCTCCTTCCTTCAGCTTTTCCAAATTTTAGACCAAGTATGTGTGTAGTTGCCTGTAGAAGGCTCTGGTGTATCCTGCAGGTTGTCTGCATCGTGGGGATTGGAGACTGTAAAGGACAGATGCACCTCTGGTTTGTCTTCAGTCTCTGGCCACTCTTCACCCATCATCCAGTTCCTTGCCAGAACTGCAGGCTTCGGGCCCAGCATCAGACACGGAGGCGACAGGCTTTTCTAGACTTCCTGCCTAGTTCTCTCCCTGGCCTGACATCTAATTTGGATCATTGAGCCCAAGGATGTCTCACAGGGTTCTGCTCCTCTACCTGTGCCCCAGTGGACACAGTCTTCCAGGTATTGCCTGGGTCAGAGAACGTCAAACCAGGTACTGCTGGGCAAAGCACAACCCCTGTTGTGTCCCAGAGCATAGCCACAGCCAGCTTGAGAAGTGGATCTTTGGCCAAGGTTGACAGGAAAGTGTCATGGTGTTTTCTAATGACAGGGGCATTGGTGAGTCAAGGCAAAAACAAAAGAATCTGTCCTCCCTGCAGCATGGCCTCCTTCTCAGGTTCCTGGTCATCCCAGTGGTTTCACCACTGCCACAGAAGACAGCTGTGTGTGTGTGACCTGGTCATCATCGACAAGTGACCGTATAACCGGATAGCCAGAGGGAGTAAGGTTTCCATGCATTTGACAGATTTCATAGTGCTGGTCAGAAAGTGATAAGACCCTGGTTGTGGGATTTGAGCTCTTTGTACCTGTCGCTGGATCGTGCAGGCTGCTTTTTCTCAGTAGTTGAGCGTTTGTTCTGCTGTTTTTTTTTTTGTTGTATAAGAGAGATCTCCAGACCTATTCACACCAAAGCCTGGGTTTCTGAGCCTTTCTCACTTTATTAGTATTCACTCATTTACGCCACAAGTGGATCCGTGCTAGGTACGGGGTAGAAGTGTGAACAAAGCTAAACAGTCCCTGTTTCGTGGATGCTTACGTTCTATTTGAAGAGACAGGCGTTAAACAGCTAATTACACGGTATTTCATTATGACTGTGGGGAGTCCAACCAGGGAGAAGTGGCAGGTGGTAAGGGAGTGTCTAGCTGGTGGTTCCGGCCTGCTCCAGGGGTCAGGGAACAGTAGCATCGAGTCCTACAAAGGGCGGGTCGAGCAGTGGGCTTGCCAGTGTATGTCCTGATGTCCAGAGGTGGGATGGGGGGGGGCTGGTTCATGCTTTACATCTTAGCATTTGCCAGGAAGACCAAATACGTCTGAAGAGCCCCTGTCCTGCCTATCACACACCCTTCAGCCTTCAGGCCCCGGGTCAGCAGCCCCGACCCTTCAGATGGTGGCCTCTGACCGTGACTTCTGTGAGGAGTAGGTGCCTGAACAGCCTAACTTCCTGACACATGACAAGGGAAGACGTGGACATCTCTGTTTTTACAAGGGAACTGTCACGTAGCTTGAGAAGCAGTAGCCTCTTGCATCAGAGTAGAAGGGAAGAGAGGAAGTGGCTGTGGAAAAAAGAAACTTGCTCTCTGAAATTCCTCAAGAACTTTCTCAAGAGACGTGATTCTCCTTTTTAGAAAAAGTTTATGGTCACTTAGCATTTTAGCTTACCCTCCGGATTCTTCCAGCTGCTGTTGTTCCTCGCTCACCCCCTCCCCGGGCCTGACCAGATTTCTTCCTGTCCGTAATGGCAGAGGCGGGCGCGGCTCCCAGCTGTCCCTGGTGACGGGGTGGCTTCCTTCCCTCAGCAGCAGTCTCCTCAGAGCTAGTCTGCAGTCAGATGTCCCCAGGGACATGAGGGGATTGGGGGGGGGGGTAATGGTTCCTTCCGGCTAAGTGAAGGTGGGACAGGAGTCTGGGCGGCAGGCAGTGGGGAGGCCGCACACGGCACCCGGGAGCTTTGCACTTCTTGAGAAGAGTGTGTAATTAAGCAGGTAGGTGCATTTGGCTTTTTAACACTTCCCTAGTTAATTGCTCTGACTTTTTCCGCCTTCTTTCTTCTGGCCTCATGCTCCTAATGTCATCTAATAGCTCCTTTTTCTTTTAATGGCTGGCACCTCAAAGACCCCTTTGTGCATGTTAATTAGACTTAGAGCATTTGGGTTTTTTTTTTTTTTTTTTTTTTTTTTTTTTGGTCTGAATCCAGGAATATGAAAGCCAAATATTTTTCTCTCTCTGCTTTTTATTGTTTTGTGTAACTGTCCTTCCTCCAGGCCTCTCAGTAACGCTGGATGCGAGAGCCAGTACTGTGGCAGTGAGCGGCAAGCTGGACCCGTTATAGTGTTAGATCCTGTTTCCACACACGAACCCCAAACCAAAGACCAGGTCACTGAGAAAGATTCAACCCAACGCAAGGATGACGGAGGCAAAACTAAACCAGAAGACAAAGACAGCACTGACAAGATGAAAGACACAGACAGCTCCCACTGCTGACCCGTAACCCGGCAGGCTGACGTGTGTACAAGTTCTCTCCCACGCGTACACGATCAATTCCGGTGCCTTGGCAAGGGCCGTAAGACATTCTGTTCTTGTCACCGTGGGCCGGATACAGGTTCCTTTTCTGGTGTCACTTTTGTAAGTAATTTACCTGTAAACATAAGTAAGTTGTTCAGCAAAATACACATCCCACGTGGGTTTTATTTTTCTTCCTAGGGATAAGATGTTTTCTCGAATTACTGTACTAAGCGCAGCTTCTTTTTAGAAGGTTACAAAAAATTCAGGTGTCTATCTTTTTAGGTAACGTGCGTACCACTAATCAAATGTAACGCTGGAAGGGTGCAGCACGGTGGATGAATGGATAGACAAAACTGACCGATGTAAGGCAGTTTAAAAAGCCCCCAGAGAAGCTTCCGTTTTAGGTCTGACCTTCTTTTGAGAGAGAAACTGCGGTAGCTATAGAACTTGTTAGGCACTGTGGTGTGCAGATTACTTTCTAGGATGTACTGAGCTAAGCTTCAAATTCAGGAGCTGCAGGCATCAGACCAGTACTCCCATAGTCCCTGCTAAATTGCACACATTGTCAGCTACGGGATGGGAAATATGCACTATTGACTACGTCCAAAGCCTCCCAAGGACTCCAGTGGGAATGCTCCGGTGGCCTGAATGCAGAGGAGCATCCCAACTTTGGAATTCATAGAGTATTATCTTAGTAAACCATGTGCTCTGTGCTAGGAGTTAATTGTGTTTCCTCATGTACTAAGTGGCACCAGTACCATGGTTTATCACAATTCTTCTGTACAGTGAAGAGAAGTGACAAGCACACAATTTTCTTGCTTCACTGCTGTTCTGCATTACACAGGTTTGTTGTGTTTGTTTTGTTTTGTTTGTTTTTTATTTTAAAGAAATTAAGTGGTAGCTAGTCTCTAAAAATACAATGTTTCAGTCTACCACAGTGAACAAATAGAAATGTAATCAGGGATTTTTAAAAAAGGAAAAAAAAAACTTATACAGCTTTTCCAAGTTGATTGTTTCAAAATTGGTGTTTATTTAAAATAAGTGGTAATGTACTTGAATGCATTTTTTATGACAATGATTCAGTAATGGTAATTTTACTATTAAAGAAAGTGAAAGGTTTAGTTTTGTTAGCGTGGCTCAGCATGTAGCTGTCCGGTGTTTCTCACCTAAGGGCAAAAGAAAATGATAGTAATAATGGCGGTAGTTGTGTTTTATTTTTGCACGTGTGCTAAGCATAGGCTTGAAGAGGCGGGTAGGCAGGTAAATCAATGTACTTCCTAAATTCGGAGATAATTCTCCTTCTGTAGGTTTGTTATGCTTGACTGTGTCCATGTTCTTCCAGTGATGATTTTACAGTTCCTGATCAGTTTCCTCACGGGGAATTAAAATGTCATGTTTTCCAACTGTAACTTCCCTCATTGAATAATACTGCTAGATGATATACTAACTGCGAACTGCATTAACCCTTAAGCCAGTTCTGTTATGCTGTGATTTGAACTCTCCTCACCACACTTATTAAAAAGCACTGACAGTTTCCCACTAAAGGTCAACTGTGGTTATTGACGTTTTTGGTTTAGTTCTCTCAACTTGTCATTCTTCTTCTTTTTTTTTTTTTTGTCACTCTTTAATAAGAAAATCCCATCGGCATTGATCACTTTCATATTTTTTAGTAATCCGCACGGTGGTTTCTCTTGAACTTTATCCCGTGTTTCTTTGTGCTCTCCTTCCTTCCTCTGTCTGAGCCTGCTGGCGCGGGTTTCACGTACACGCAGAGATATAAAGACACACAGACGCATCACTCCGTATTTCACCACGCATGTCAACAGGATGATGCACCCACAAAAACACTGTCGTTGCCAGGGTAAGAAGGTAACCACTGGGGGAGATGTGTTCGCTGGGCCAGGCAACTTTGAAAGTGTTCTTGTCTTCTCCAGGAGGCTTCCTTACCTCGAGGTGATCACAGAGCATTTGACAGTTAGTTTGATAGGAAGGTATTTGATCTAGGCTTTTCCTCCTCTTGTTCTGCCTTCAGTATTCACATCAGTCAGGAGGAGGTTTTGTCCCTGCTGGGGTGCGGTTGTCAACACACAGTCCAGGAAGGAAAGACACAGGAAGACTAGTGCTCTTAGCTTCCGGGTATGTTCTTAGCTATTTGCCCCCCAAAACTGTAAATGACCTACATATATACTATTTTTAAGTCAAAAGGGACTGCCTTCTTTATGTTTTTGTTTTCTCTAAAAACTGTATTTAGGGGATCCCTGGGTGGCTCAGCGGTTTAGAGCCCGCCTTCGGCCCAGGGCATGATCCTGGAGTCACAGGATCAAGTTCCACATCAGGCTCCCTGCATGGAGCCTGCTTCTTCCTCTGCCTGTGTCTCTGCCCACCCTCTTCTCTCTCTGTGTCTATCATGAATAAATAAATAGAATCTTAAAAAAAAAAAACCTTATTCTTCTGTTTTGGAGAAGGAATTATGTCTCATCTGCTACAGAGTTGGAACTAATACTGATGCATTTTTTAAAGATTTTATTATTTTTATTAATTTATTCATGAGAGACTGCATTAATACACAGAGAGAGAGAGAGATGCAGAGACACAGGCAGATGGAGAAACAGGATCCATGCAGGGAGCCCAACGTGGGACTCGATCCCAGGACCCTGGGATCATGCTGTGAGCCAAAGGCAGATGCCCAACCACCGAGCCACCCAGGTGTCCCTATACTGATGCATTTTTATTGTCAGAGTGGGGCAAAAAGGGATAGATGTACTTTGTGCTCTGGCTGTGAAAGAAGATGTCTCCCTTCTTTTCTGAAAGAATAAGAACTGAATGCAAACTCCCACACCCTTTTGTACCTGGGCTGGTCTCACACACTCCTCAGCCCCCAGCACTCCAGCAGCTGGTCCGCCCTGTGGAAACGCTGGGTGGCAAGCGTCAGCCTGGCTGTCCCCACCCAGCCTTGTTGGCCTGAGTTGAAAGGACAGGTGTTGTGGCTCTGGCCACTCACCAGTAATTCCTCTTGCCTTACCTTCTTTGTTAACAAACAGTGTTTGCTTGGAAATGGAATGGTACAGATAGAAATGATCGTTCATTATCTTTCCAGACCATCTTTAGGTTGTTCATGAGGTCAATGCTAGTCCACATTATAGACTCCTGGATGATTTTTCTGTGTGTTTAATTACTTTCATCACAGAACAACACCAGCTTCTTTGGCATTAAGTTGGGGGGGGCGGGCAACCATGCGTCATCATCACTGACCTTACAAGGATCATCAAGCTGCCTTTATATTTAACAGATCGGATTGGTTTGGATTTTCTTCCTGGCACTGACGTTCCCTACTTCTGCTGGCATTGATTCCCATGGGACATGACTAGTCTCTTTTACCTCTTTTATAGATAGTAAGTTCTATGTAGTGTATATGACAGGTTTTTTATCTCTGATATATTAATATACACGTATGGAGAGAGAGAAAAAATATAAGTAGAAGCAGTATTCATCACTTTATTAGAAATTTGATGCCTCTCCATGGGTGACCCCAGTCCTTGAGGGGAGAAACGGTGGTTGGGGCGTGTGCCCCGTGCTGAAATGAGAGCTCTGTCTTGGTGGAGGTAATAAATTACCTCTTTGGTTAATTTAATTTAGTTATTGACTTAGTTTTTATATTTTTGCTCTGGTTCCATTCGTTTAATTATCATTTGTGTTCTAGTTCCAGAGCAGACCCTCAGATGATCTCCCGTATTTCATCTGTGTGTGGACATACATGTTCAAAGGCTACGTGAACACCCAGTCATGTTCTGCCTGCCTTTAAAGTGAATTTCCCAGAGGCTCCTGGGTGGTTGGTTTAGCCGGTTAGGCATCCAACTCTTGATTTTGACTCAGGACATGATCTCAGGGTCAAGAGATCGAGCGCCACATTCAGCTCCATGCTGTGCGTGGAGCCTGCTTGACATTCTCTCTGTCTGCCCTATGCTCCTCCCCCACCCCCCTTAAAAAAAAAAAAAAGGATTTTCCTTCCACTTTCTCATACTTCATTATGTGTTGCTTAAGCACCAGGACAGGCAGTAGCAACCACAAACTGAGACATGGTTCTCCCAACTTAGATACCAGCCAGTCCTCCTGGCCCTTGCTCTGAGAGAAGGTGCCATGAGCCAATTTTAAATCATTGCTTTGAGTGTAAGGCCCTGGCTTTACCATGAGGCCATTAAGTTTCTCTATGGGTACTCTTCAAAAGGAAAAGTTCTCAATGTGCTTAGTGAAAACTTAGGGAATATATCAGAAATCTAAACCCAGCCAACTCTCCCACAGGTCAGTACCTAACAATTTTTATAATTTTGGAGGAAAACAAATGATAACTTTAAACAGAGAATCTAAATTCTATAAAGCAGTAGGACATTATTATATCTGTAGGTGTGTGAATAATTTTATTTCTAGTACTTTTCTGCTATAACCCTGATACTGGCTTACAAGAGAGGCACTTCATCCAGTCAGCCTATACGATGTATCATTTTTAGTCGCCTCTGAGATGCTGTTGCATAAATAATTGAGCAGTTAATTACCTTAAGACTATTTATGCACTTACTGATGGGTTTATTCATTTATACTGATTCTTTTTCCAAAAAGGATCTTAGGACGCCCACAAGCATGTAAGTAAAATAATAAAGATGAAAATTTAGAAAGAGGAGGGAATCAGGGAAAAGAATTAAGGGTAAGGAAGTCAAAAGAAGCCTTTGGCGGTTACAAAAACTGAAGTTCTCACACTTCTTCCTGCATGAGGCTGGCTACAAAAATGCATCTGTGCTTTCCGGCATGGATATGTCAGCCACAGGGGTCCTGGACTCTTACTAGGCCGTAGCCCCCCAAGTGGACAGGATTGCTGGTATACGGATGAAATTCCCATGGAAATGAGATGTCTGGAAGACACATCCCACAGGTATAATTTCAGGCAGAAATGCTACATATCAATTTATTCAACAGTGAAATCATAAAAAGAGTGCACTGGTTAGGGGCGTTTTATAGCAAAACCAATGTGAAGACACCCGTGGGCTCTGCGGGTCTCCTGCTGGCTGTGTGGCCCTAAGCCGGGCGTCCACGGTTCCATCCGGAAGACACTCATGCGTTGGCCGATGCCTCCATCACTTCAATGGGGAAGACAGGCTCCGGCAGCTCTGGCAGCTCTGGCAGCTCACCAGTCACGGGGGCCACGGCCTTGGATGCCTTGGTCCCCGTTTCCACTTCGTCATTCAAGGAAAAAAATGTGTGTCCTTCATTGCAACCTATTCAACAACAACAATAAAGTTTACTGTCGGATGCAGTGGTGCTGAGTTTGATGTTATTTGTTCCGGGAGGTAAAGGAGAGACCATCTTCATAAGTGCCCAGTGCCCAGGTATGTCCCCTGGCCACTAGGAAAGGTCCCGGGACTGCTTAGAACCAGGCCTGACTTTGCTCACATGTTACCTGTACGATACCTTGTTTTGCTCAGTCCACATGGTGCCCTTCTGGAACGTTTTTTATGCAGTGGACTTGGGGCAGAGGCTTAGCAGAGAAGGAGCAGAGGAAGATGATGAGCTAGAGGAGAGGCCAGTCCTCTACACAAGTACAAACCATTGCCAACTAACTGTTCCCGCGTAGACGACTGCAGAATTAGTTCCAGTCGGGTCCATGTGGGCAGTGACCGTGACAGCTCTCAGCTAATAGCTGAGCTTTTATGGGGTTTCCTTATTGTCTCAGTGAGGAGATGTGTTTTTCTGGTATTTGGTCTCCTTACCATGTATTGACCACTGTCAATAGGGTGTATTGACTGCAGGCCAATGACAGAGAAATTCACATTACAGGCACACCTCAGAGATAACCGCCGGTATGGTTCAAGACCACTGCGATAAAGAGAGTCACGTGAATTTTTTTTTTTTTTTGGTTTCTTAATGCATATAATAGTTCACACTATGCTGTAGTCACTGAAGTATGCAATAGCATTAGATCTAAAAAAACCCAATGTACGTACCTTAAATAAAGACACTTTATTGCTAAAAAATGCTAACCATCATCTGAGCTCTCAGCAAATCACTGATCACAGATTATCATAACAAATATAAGGATAATGAAAGTCTGAAATTTTGTGAGAATGACTAAAACACGACACAGAGACGAAGTGAGCAAACGCTCTTGGAAAAATGGCACCCAGAGACCTGCTTGACAGAGGGTTGCCACAAACCTCCATCCTGTAAAAAATGCAGTATCTGAGAAGTCCAGTAAAGCAAAGTACAATCATGAGGCAAGTCCAGGATGACCAGAGTTTGGGCCTGGCCCTGAAGCAAGGCCGGGGCCTCTAGTCACTATCTTTTCTGATGCCCAGGAGCGGCTGTTTCTCCTGTGCTGAAGTCTGGCTGGAAATGTGATGGGCCATTTAGGAACTTAAGGCTTCCACATGTCAAGATCACATTAAAAAAAAAAAAAAAAAAAAGAACAGGGCAGCCTGGGTGGCTCAGCAGTTTAGCGCCTGCCTTCAGCCCAGGGCCTGATCCTGGAGTTCCGGGATCGAGTCCCACGTCGGACTCCCTGCATGGAGCCTGCTTCTCCCTCTGCCTGTGTCTCTGCCTCTCTCTCTCTCTCTCTCTCTCTCTCTCTCTCTGTGTGTGTGTGTGTCTTGTGAATAAATAAATAAAATCTTAAAAAAAACCCAGGTAATACATAGGAACAATATGATTTTACCTATTTGAAAAAACAAGTCCTGTGTCACACACTAAACAACTAACTTTTGATTGCCCTTACATAACACAGAAAGAGCCTCTCAATTAAATTTTTAGGGTGTGTTTCAGGGTCATTACGTACGTTAAACATGACAAATTCCTAATTATGATTTCTATTGGCTTCTTTCTTCAATGCGTAGTATATTGAGGCCCAATACAGGACTACGTCCTTGCTGTCATATGCAATAACTGGTGTGCCCTACAGTACATTCTGTAATACATTTATCACTTAATAGATTTAATTTATACCATCCAAGAACATTTCATATTTTGTCAATACTCCCTAAATAACACATACTTTTTTCCCAGCGTATCAGTGGATTTATTCTATCCTAAAATGCAAAATATTTTTAGAATTCCAACGACAGTAACTCGGTGTCTTTAAATATCACTGTGTGCTGTGCACCTGCTTTTGGCCATCACAGTAACATGAAGCGTAAAAATGCCTATTTGGGGTGTTTCTCTCCATTTAGCCAGTACACAAGGTGCCTTCTATGCGTGCAAATTTGCAGAGGCTTAACTTCATAAATGACTGGTTTGTTTCTCTTGAGACCACAGCCTTTCCAGCGTATGACATTAAACTTAACATGCTGTCTCTGCTTGTCTTAAGTAAAAGGAGTTTGTAAGAATCATCAGGAAAACATCTGCCTTTAACTTCACGGGTTGTGCAGAGAGACCTCAACTATAATTTGGACCATAACAAAAGGTAGGCTTGGAGATTCCAATCAATTAATTCTATTGAAAAGCACCACGCAGCTTATTCATCAAGAAGCAGGGCGAGAGAGTTTTCAACATTCAGGTAAATAGATAATCCATTAAGAAAACAATGCACATTGTAGCAAATGCCACCCTAGTTTTGTCAGCACTTAGTTATAGTCTTTGGATCCCCCTGCCCTCCTGCCGAGGGCCTCCCATTCCCCTTCTTCCAATCTTTGTTCTCTTATTCATGGCTAAGTGAAAACAAAGCAAGAAAGCAGCACGTACCCAGTGTTCCATTCTGGACAAGCTCTTCCTCTATAGTAAAAAGGCGGTTGTACTTAGTCACCCGTTCGCCTCGAGAAAGACCTCCCAACTTGATAAACCGGACACCGAGTCCAATGGCCTTAGGGGGTGGGGGGTGGGGAGGACAAAACTGATTTTAAATGAGAAGTCACATATTTTGCTAAAATACTAATCGTTCTTTAGGGAGAAAGGGCACTGACCCTGTGTGCTGTTTGGGTTTTCTCTTACACCTTCGTATTTTATCTTTGCATGGGTAGGGTGGCCTGCCTACTGAGCGTGGCAAAAGGTAAAGAGCATGACTACACATCAGATGCTTTACTAGTCATGTGAGCATGCTGATTTTATCTAAGAACATTCTGGCCTTTCCCCCCCGCTTCATTTTAGGTGGTAAGATTGCAAGCGCTCACCCCAGCCATTTAAGTGTGCTCATCATTTTCCCAGGACTTCAATTTTTCTTCTTTCTAAAAGTTCAAAGATTAGCTCTTTGCAAAAGGTAGCTGTCTGGGAGGAAGCAAGTCTATTTCATAAAAGGTTACATGACTTTCTCCGCCAAGGACTGCTTTTCTCTGAAATACCAATTCTTGATAAAAGCAGTGTTTTGGCAATTCTGCAATTGACCAGCTTTCAGTACTTACCAAATCGACCAGGCTGTCATCAGACGACTCTCCTTCTGTACTTCCGAAGACGGTGATGTGCTGCTTACCTGTGAGCAGAGCAGTTCTTTTCAGGTTTAGATGGCATAGAAACAATGAGCTTAATTAAGCTCATATACATATATACATGTATATGTATGTGTATGTCTACATGTATGTGTGCATATATGTGTATATACGTGTGTGTAATATATGTAATATATGTGTAATATATAATGTATATCTGAGCCTCTGGAACCAAAATTTAAAATTTGCCAGAAATTTATAACTTTCTTGTGAAGAGTCAGTGATTTGACCACCTGAGAATTCTGACCTAACCATTTGTATTTTTATTACCCTTTCCAGTAGCTCAGATGCTAAATACTACATGAATGCCCCATTTGATCAAATTTAAGGTAACCGTAAATTGTAAGATAGACCTTTATGACCACGAAAGGGGGAAAGTGCTCAAATTAGATTGACATACTTCTAAGACCACAACTGTTAAAATAGGATTCCATTTTATCCATGTTCCGTGTAGAAAAGTGTGCATCTTTGAGACAAAATACACACTAAGGGCAAGGGCACCACCTGGGGAGTTAATATGCCCTGTTGGATTTCACAATTCATCGTGTAAAATTTTATTCAAAGGAATCTGTTGTTCTGAATGTTAACTTATTAGAAGAGCACTGCTGATGGCACTTACTCCAGATTTGAAGATCTCAGAAGCCCTTGAAATTTGCCAGGCTGCAAAGAATGCAAGCCAAGGTTCTTCCTCTAGAGACTGTTTTAGAGGCAGAGCTATAGTAGCAATCCAAAGTGAATGACAATGCTGGCTGAGGGGTAGGCCCAGGGGAAAGGCCAGGGCTGGGCCTCCCATCTACCACCTACAGGACAGTCCTGCCTTGTTCCTAGACTGGCCGCCCACAGGACAAGGGACTATGGGCATTCGATTCCATTCTCTGACACCAGCCCAGGCCCCCCAGGCTGCCAGCATGGCTCTGAGTCCTACTCCAGGTCTTAGACAAGCCTTCTGCCTGATTCCCGAGACCCATTCATGTTTCAGGCGCTGTGTGTAAATGAACAAGACTCCTGTGAACTCATGCGAGTTTATAGTCTAGTGGGGGATACCAGATATTAAATAATCATACAAGTAATTATGGCCAATAAGGAAAAAGTATAGGATGCCATGAGGAAGGTCGAGAGCAACCAGGGAGGGGTTGGGAAAGCCAGAAAAGTCATATATATCTGAAAAGATTTCCTTTTAAGGAAAGACCTGAAGAATCAGGAGTAGTTAACCTGGTAAATGGTACCAGGCAAAGCATGTTCAAAGATCTCAAGGTGGTAAAGAGTTTGAAACTTGGGAGGAATTTTTAAAACAACATTGTGGGTTGTGGGGGGGAATCACTGTCATGTGTTGTGAAGCTGATGGGGCGCTGTCCTTAGCCACACCTGTGTGGCAGCTTCACTCAAGGGGCGGCCTCCTGAACTGGCACTGTTGTTGGAATGCTGTGAAGTCAGTCGGTAAGCTAGCTGCAGGTTGTCTTCCAGCACCAAAACTCTCTCAGATGGTTGGAAAATTTTTAAATCTTTTTTTCAAGATTAATGCCATGCTTTTTACTAACTGATAAACTGCATATTTTTGGCTCCTTGTATAACCAAGTTAAGTTTGTTATGAGTCTTACAGACCTATACTTTTACTCACTGTCAAGAAGACTGGTTACTTCCACCAAGTCAGACACCGTCGTTTGATTGGTGTGTTTTATGATCACCCCACTGGATTTGGGGGTGCTGTTGTTGCCACCCTCTAGAAGCTGAGAAATGCTTTTGGATGCAGCTCCTGCGATGATGTAACACCTGGAACCAAGAGTATTATAGATGCTCTCCCACTGTTCAGAATCCTAGACAAATAGTTAAGAATTGATCATTATCGTTAGGGCATGATCACAAAACAACAGGAATCTTCTAGCACCTAATCAGAGTTATGTACCTTACTGAGATCCACAAAACCGTTTCTGTTGTATCTGTGGCTGAATGATGCCTGAACCACAGCCCCACAAATTAACCAAATTCATGGAACAGAAACTTCAAGTGCTTAAATTTGAGCTTAAAGATCTGGTGAATCAAATGTTTAACACACATTAAATGCTCCACGTTGATTCTCAAGTCCTTCAAAACCGAGCTGTTCCTACCCACTGTATTGTCCATGACACTACTAATGACTGGCTGGCCAGAACATGTCACTGTTATTTCTGGTGAACAGAGAACAGGAGGAGATGTGTCTGCAAGGGCTCTAGGCCCTCATTCTCAACACTGTTGTGTTTTTTTTGTTTGTTTGTTTGTTTGTTTTTGGTGAGACCATCACATGAAACAAAATGCTATTTTTTAACTGATGATCTACAAAGTCTGCCAAGCCGCTGTCCCACTAGAACACACTAAGCACGGGCACCTTACCACATTCACACCAGCTGAGGTCAGCCCAGGACAAGCCCTGGAAGATGGGGCTGGCAGGATGAAGAGCTCAGTGATGGCTCCGTGAGTGCTGGGATGTGGCATGGGGTGGGGGGGCTGGGACCCTGAGCAGGATGCTGCTCTCTTCTTGTGCCCCAAATTTAAATCCATGCATTATCTCAGAGGGGGGATCTGTTAAGTATATCGAATGGTTCTCCAATACACGACATCAAGAATTTAAGTTTTGGAGTTTCAGAGCATTAAGGACAATGATGGCCTTCTGTTGCACATGAGCAACCCTCATCAGATGCAGTAGCTGGAATGGATCGAAACACCTCTCCATCTGAAACCTTTGCAAAAATACGGCTTTGTGACTGATGCATGTGTGGTAAGTGGATCTGGGTTATAAACATTTAGCCCAGCTGATGTCCTGTTTCGGGGAGCATTTAATGCTGGTATGTGATGGGCCAGTTGAAGCAGCAGCTGCAGGGCGAGTGCCCCTCCAGAGCTTGGGAATAGCTCCCCTCAACCTGCACACAGGCACACTCCCATGCGCTTGTGCTTCAGCTGCGTGTGTGCTTGGTGTGTGCAGAAGGAAGGCACCTCCACCCCAACCCAAATTGCAGTATTTCGAGTGATCAACCCAAAAGAATGAGACCTTTGCTCTCTGTGCTTAAAAAATTCAAGTTCAATCCCGTTACCTCCTTCCTGAAAGGATCAATTAAGGCGATAATTGAAGGGAACTTGTTGATCAGATCCACATACAGGTCAAGCATCTCAGCTGTGTTTTTGTGTATTCCCGTCATTACTTCATACTTTCCTTTATTCTGGTAAGTGTAAAGACAATAGAAAAGATAAATGATGAATTCCTCGAATGCTAAAGGTGGGATTCCCATTTGTGTTTATTCATTGCACATAAAAGATTGTAAACATTCCTTTCAGGCCATATTCCCATGAGAAATCTGTGTGCTTTAGTTTAAATAACTGTTAAATATTAGCCTGGGGAAATCAAGTCATCATTCCTTTTCATATTCCATGGAACTCCACCCACTGACTTCAGATGAAGACTTCTGCACAAAAGACCAAGTACACAGTAGGAGGGGAATAATTTCTTCGGTCTGTGACATGGTGCCAGCTACCTGGATGCTTGGGTCGACAGGTGATGACATAAATTTATAAAACAGGAGAGCAGTGCACAGCTTCCCACTCACCAGATCCCACCATCTTTCAACTCACAGTAAACAAATAGCTTGTCTCCTCTACTGTGAATATCCTAAAATTTGAAAGCAGGGTGAGACTTTTCATATATAAACAGCCACTATGAAATGTCAAGTGACCCATGTGAAGGCATCTCCTTCTCAGGTAGCAGGCAAACTCTAGTAGTAGCCATATGGTCCTGAAAATATAGAGTTCTAGTTCGATTCCATTCATTCGAAGTCTGGAAAGCCCCGGAGTCCTCAAGAATGGAAGTAAACAGGGTAATGGATCTAGTGTAGTGTCTCTGCAAAACATATTTTTGATTTCCAAGTCTGTGTACCTGGGTTATTCAGGTACCAGGAAGGAGGCAGGATGGAACAGAATGGTTTACTAACGCCTTCCTGCTATGGCTGTTAATGGATGGATTCCATTGGAATTAAGTAGCTTCCAAAGAAGTCCATGCTTGAAAGGATTTTATACTTTTTTTCAGATTAAAAAGCAGCCAGAACTTTTTGTTTCTTGACTGCAAAACCTTGAAAATCCTATCTTGTCAGTAAAGAAATGCTAATGACCTTGAATTAACATTGTAAGAATTATTTGATATTAACCTAATACATTTTACTGCATATAAGCAAAAAAATACCCATTCTAGCTAGCACTGGCAGTCAGTATATTCATAGTTCTCGGTATACGTTGCTGATGAAAACATGCAATTATTTTTTGTAATAGTATGCCTAGGAACCAATCATTATGTGGAGAATAGGAAATTACATTAAACATGCCTTCATGCGCTTAGTATCTTTGGAAAAGTTAAAAGGACTTAGAAGTCAGCTGAAACTTAGGGTTCTTATATGCTGTTCAAGTTTTCCTTTGAAGTTAAAAAGAATTGCAAATTAAAGCAGAATTCTCTTTGGTCACATCCCCTGAATTTGAAATTAATGACCAAGTCACCACAAATGTATGTCAACATGCTGAACATTTCATACAACACAGACCTAGCATTTGTGTGTTTGAAAAAGGGAAGTATGTGTAGAAGACAGATAGGTCTTATCCGTTTCCCTCACATACCAGTTTGCCAAGTTGAAAGGTGAACTGCTGGTGTGAAAAGGTGAACTCCTTACCACGAGGAAGTGAAGACTGCAGCTTTTTAAAAATGAACCTGTTTTCCATTCTTTTTAAAATAATTGCCCCCACGTGGTGTGGTCTCTGAGTGAAGATTCATCGCTAAAGCCCTATCCTCCTAACCCAGGCTGTGGATAACACTGTGGATGGGCTTAATTGGATAAAAATATATTCTCCATAAATGTCAATAACTTGGAAATATTTTTAAAGATTTTATTTATTCATGAGGGACACAGAATGAGAAGCAGAGACATAGGCAGAGGGAGAAGCAGGCTCCCCGATGAGGGACTCGGTCCCAGGACCCTGGGATCACGACCTGAGCCAAAGGCAGACATTCAACCACTGAGCCACCAGGTGCCCTGGAAATATTTTTATATTTAAAAAGTGAGTCACAGCAGAAACCCTGAGAACCACTTCTCCAGAAGGGCTTACCAAGTTATACTTACAATAGGTCCATTTTCCATGCTTGACAAATTCAGCATCTACCAACCAAATGAGTGAACTCAGGAGAACATACCGGTTTGTTATTTTTCAATAGCTCTCGTAATTGCAATGTAAGCAACCCACTTTAGTAATTTTTGTTACTGAATTTCTATATGTAATTATTTTGACATTTTCCGCTAATTTAAAAAATTATATGGTTATGTTTTTCTCTGGTCATTAGCTAACTTGGCTTTCTCGACTCCATTTATATTTGGAACCTGCACACAATATTAATAAAAGCAGTAGGATCTGTTTGGAAAATATTCAGATAGGCTCTTCTTTTGAGTTCTAATTTTAAAATAATGGGACCCAACAAGAAGTGAGTGTTCTGGAGCAGAAACTTACGTAATCCATCAGCTCATGTGCAGCACAGTTGATGGCTAGATGCAGGTTTGTCCCCATGTCCAGCCCCAGGTTCGCACAGATGCCTTGTATCAGGAGCAGTGGCTGCTCTATGGTGTCATAATTAATGGTTAAACAGCCAAGATGGGACATCTTGCCAGTGATGGGCTGCTATAGGACCAAAAGCAAATGATGCATATAAATATAGAGCAGTAAGGTTCCTGGAGCTTTCTGGTTATAAACTAGGCACCAGAATAACTAGACATAGCTCTCTAAACACGTGGGCCTCTGAGTCTCCATTAACCTATGGCCAGGTGTCACTCATCTCTGCATGACATTTGGGCATATGATTGCCCAAAGAGTCTGGAGTAATTTTCATACCCCCAAGATTTGAGGCTTGACCTGGGAACATGCTTTTCTCTCTTTGGTGTGCCTATGTAATCTGTTTATCAACTCTGACCGCAAGCTGACCTGAGCCACAGCCACCAGGTTGGTGAATCTCCAGGCTCTCCTTGTAAACATCTGTCTGGCCTGTCCCTAACTCTGTCCTCCTCCACCCACTTCCAGATCTGCTCTTACCTGTGTCCCATTTTCCCTTTGAATATAAGTCTTAACATAGAACCCTCCTTCAGGAAAAGGTTTTATTTGAAAAAGGATAGAAGATCTCTGCCCACCTGATGCAGCCCTGTGGATGGCTTTCAGTGGAAGGTTTGGGACTCAAAGCAGCCCAGGGAAAGGCAGCCTCGTGTTTCTGTTGCAAGGTCAGCCCCGATGTGCCCTCCTCCTAAATTGCCGCTATGCAATTATAGCACAGTTGAAGCGGTATCGGTGATTCTGAAGGGTGTTGCGTGTGTGCGTGTTGCACGCCAAACTCGAGGGCAAACGTGAACCTAGGTATCAATATCCCATTTCTCTGATGATAGCACGAGTTAATTATAAGAACCATCTAACGATTTTAATGTCAGGGAGAGGAACCTTTTATTTGGCAAAGGAAAAGCTGGGGCAATTGCTGTATGTCAACTGAGGAGTTTTGTTAGTCTTCTGAATACTAAAAAAGTATCACTTAGAGCTTATCAAATGCCAGCTACTATCCTAAGCACTTAACATAAATACATTTTACTCCTTCAACCCCATGAAGCAGATAATATTATTATCCCACTTTACAGACAGGTAAGTAACTTGGAACAGATTTTAATCCAGGAAACTTAGCTCTAGAGTTCATGCTTCTTAACTGCGTATGGCCACCTCTCTAGAATCTACCATCTAACCTGTTTCTAACAGAAAAAAAAAAAAAAAGTAGTAAAGCTGATCATGGGGAGGGCAGATCTGGGTTAGAGTTTCTCAGACCACGCAGGACAACCTGCCGGAGTAGGGAAAGGTGCTGATACTTGGTTGCTTGTTCATCATGCCCTGGCTCTCTTGTGAGGTCTAATGTTAGGGTGTCGTGCTCATCCCAACAGATAAAACTATCAAGTACTTAACTTTCTGGTGTATTTTTTTTTCACACATTTCTTTTTTCTCTCCCAATTGTGAGGAGGAATTTAATGTTTCACCTTTACTAGCCCCATCACCACTTGCATTATCTCAGGGTTCTTACGGGTTATTCCAACCATACTGTTGAATGTTCGGGCATATGAGAGGTGTATCTGTCAGCACACCCACAGTCACCAAAGCCATTGCCCAATCAGGCTGAGATGGCTTCCTCAGGCTCTTTGCAGCCACGCTGACCAATTTTGACGAGAACTGTTTGTCTGACGCTACTGACAAAATCTTGAGCTCCAGTAATGGTACGTCTGAAACGGTGCTTCAGTGCCTTTTCAGACCCAGTGAAAGAAATGGCTATCATTTTGTGCCTTTTCTTTCTCTCTTACTTGGTAGGAGTCAGATTAAAATCGAAAACATTCTATATGCCTTTCAGTTAGTTATCAGAGATAACTGCTAACTTCCCCAACGCTTCACCTATCGAGTTTCAAATATAATCTCTTCTATGGGATACACAATTGCTTCTCCACACACTCTGGGATGTCAGCGGGAGAGACAAGTGCTGGCCCGGCAGCCTGTGGCCAGAGAGGAGCAGCAGAATGAGAGTCCAGCTCTGGGGTTGTCCTGTTTAGTGCTTTTGCAGGAGCATCACTTGGTAGTTTCCATGTGTGTTAGCCTGGGTCCTGGCGCATAGTGACCAGGAGAGGAACGGGGCAGGGCGTATGTAAACGAATTGTGTCCTACTGAAGTGTGGTAAAGAAATGCATAAACTTACTTGACCTCTTTTGCTTCCATTATGCCCTTTTCTGGTCTCTGTTTTTGGAGGAGGGGTCTGTGGGACAGAAGATAAGAGAGAAATCACTTGCAGTTTTCAGACCTGTCTCTGGTAGCAAGTAGAGCTTCAGGGCGTGTGGCCCGTCCACTACTCTGGGGCTGGACCAGGGACACTGGGAATCACAGACAGACACACACACACACACACACACACACACACACACAGGCAGGGACCATACCATCCCCTCTGGTTTTGAAAAACTCCAAACTTTGAAACATCTCAGTTTCAGGTACCTGTTCCCTTTAGTTCATCCTTACATTCTGCTTCCAATCACACACATGAAGTGTGTATATTCATGCATTTATACTTGCATAAATAAAGTATTATTCACTCATATGAGGTGCCCTCCTTGCCCTTAAGGAGCAACACCACTGTGGGATTTGCTTTGAGATTGTTTTGAACATTGTTAAGGTCCACACACTCTCTCTGCAGGGTGGATTTGACTTTTGGAAACAGCCGAAGGTCATCAAATCTGATGAAGCTGGTATGTGTCATGTCATTTAAGATGAAAAGCAAAGCTAGTTCCCAAAGATTATTGGGCATTTTCAATACCCATAGTTTGGGGTGTTGTCAGCATTCTGGAGCAAGCATGCAGCCCTTTAAGGATACATTTTAATACCCAGCATTACTAGCTCTGTAAATTGGGGCATGTTTGGCAAGAGTCAGCATGGCTCACACCAGCGTATATGCAAATACAGTTATCCTGCTTCTTTTCACTAGGGGGACAGCTGAACTGTCTATCCCCTGGTAAAAGTACCACGCTCAGGAAGCCAATCAATGTGCAAGGCAGGAGACATAACTGTGGTGAACAAGATAAACACAGGCACAAGCAGTGACTCATCCATACAGCTGACTGTCATCACCCTGCCTCTGGGGCTTCCCCGCAAGGGCTGCCTGGCCAAAGGCTCCCCATTTGCCCAACACCAGGATTCTAAACAGGCATCAGAGTCTGTGGCTTAATCATTACACTAAACTGCCTTGCACATTCTAAAGGATGTGCAAATCCTTTCTTTGAAAATCCTAAGGGATGATCTTAGTATAGAGCCAGACTGATGAGATTAAGTGCCATTAGAAACTGGATCCATGGCCAATGAGGGAATGTATAATCTTGGCTTGTATGAGAAACCCAAGGCAAATGAATACATTTTACATATAAATAACAACAATATTGAGATAATTTCATAATGAACTATAAAAATTTGTATGCTAGAAGGTGTCAGTAACAGCAATCAGATCCCAGAGATTCTCTTTACGTACCATTTCGATTGTTTTGTTAATATGTTTCTGAATTTCCAGAAGCATCTCCACACCCTGTAAGTATAATAACCATGATCTTCCACAACTGTAGTCCAGAAACTTTAAATATAAAAATTTTTTTTAAGATTTACTTATTCATGAGACACACACACACACACACAGAGGCAGAGACATAGGCAGAGGGAGAAGCAGGCTCCATGCAGGGAGCCCGATGTGGGACTCCATCCCGGGTCTCCAGGACCACGCCTTGAGTCAAAGGCAGATGCTCAACTACTGAGCCACCCAGGAATCCCATAAATATAAAAACTTGACAGCACACACTGGCTATTTCTAACTGAATATTTGTAGGGTCTCTGATAAGGCCTCCTGGTTAGTAGATTAGATGTGGTCTACAAAATCAGAAGATTAAATGTTAATCTTCAGCCCTCAAGTTGTATTTTGTTGAATATGAATGAGGTTCTTCTCACTATCCTTTCTTCATTGTTCAGAACTGACTGGGTCAATCAGTTGGATCAGGTCAGCTTCATTCTCTCTCATAGTGTCTTGGCCAACCTTTTTGCAATGTATGTCACAGGTCACCAAGGGATTCTGTGTGACAGTGTGTTTGAACCAGTATGAAGCCACTGTCACTTAAAAATAGAAAAGTATACCCCAATGATTGTGGGATCTGCACTCAAAGACAAAGAATGGCATGCCAACTGCTCTGGTACCCAAATAGCACAACAGATACTACGTGCAGGGAAGATCCTGGTGCTAGAGTCTGAACGTGATCTGACACATGGTGAGCCAGCTATGAATTTCTACTATTTTACAGTTGATCCATCATGAGGTAATAGTTATTCTTTTTAAAAAAATAATTCTTTATCACGAAGAAATTCTCTTGAGATTTTTTTTTTTTTTAAAGGGATCCCTGGGTGGCGCAGCGGTTTGGCGCCTGCCTTTGGCCCAGGGCGCGATCCTGGAGACCCGGGATCGAATCCCACGTCGGGCTCCCGGTGCATGGAGCCTGCTTCTCCCTCTGCCTGTGTCTCTGCCTCTCTCTCTCTCTGTATGACTATCATAAATTAAAAAAAAATTTAAATAATGATGCTCACTAGCTTAGATAAAAAGTATCACTCTATGTATTTTACCAGAGGGGATGGAACTTCCTGGACTTCCTGCTGAAAACATCCACTGTAGAACATGAACGTTAGTTCTTCCTAATGCCCAACTGGTAGAACATTTCATGAAGGTTTAAAGAGGCACATTGACTCGTCAGGTCACCGAGGAACAGTTTGGACGCTAGCACACCACTAGGTATAACGATGCAGCTTAGGATTCCTTCTATCTATAAGCAGGTGCTGAACCTCTCTTTTTGTGCCAGGCAGCCTGTTCCGCCCCGGAGCTCTTAGCCAACAGAACTGGCTGCTAGGAAGGAGCCAGCTTCCTCTTGCTGCTGCCACAGCGCCTCGGCCAGTAAATAGAGATGCTTCAACTCCCCCACATAACAATCTGCCAGCACTACCAAGGCCTGCCAAGTTACTCAGGCAGGGCTCCTTGGTGTCCTCGGTGCTGAAAGCCAGAGATCGGAGGCGGTTTAAATGTGACCCCTTATGCCTGACGTCTTGCTTTCTCTCCACTTCTCTGATTTACTAAAATATATATTGTTTTCATTTTATATTTAATTCTCTCTCCCTTGGTATCATAAGCCTTGGGGCCCTACACTAAATACTCATAGGTGATGGAATGTGGTAGCTTTTTTTGTTTTGTTTTTGTTTTCTGTTTTGAGAAAAAGTAGGTGAGATAATAGAAGGTACTTGTTTAGCTGTTAACCCGGGATGCGGTATACACATCAATTCTTTCATTAAATTCAGCTTGCCCGGCGATGCCTTCCCACAGCTGACCAGAGACACCATTAGCAAAGGTACAGTGAGCTTTGCAGGCTGCTCCTGGAAGATGGAAAAACAGGGAGAAACCAGAAACACGGTTCATTGGTATTGAGATACTCATGGGGCCTTGGAACAGAATTCAACGGGCACTGACCTGCTGCTTCAGTAATGCGATATTTAAGTAGAGGGGGTTATTGCCCAGGATGGCACTGGTTTTGGCCACAGCTAGTGATACGGCCCCTATGGCCATGCTGCCACTGAGTACGGGTTCAGCAGGTTCTGGAGGCAGAATAGGTTTCTCTGTGACAGTATCATTCCTCCCTAGGAAGGAAAAAGTGATAAGGGATTCCTTCTGAGGACTTTTGACTATGATAAAACTCTATGTTATAATGCTTTGGTTACAGATGTGAGGGCCCAGCATAAAGAAAGGGGGGAAACTGAAGCTGGGTAGATCAGGCTCTCCACCTCAACCCCTAAGAAGCAGCTTGTGTGCTTTCACTTACTACTCCCTAATGTTCATCATCCACAGCCATGGATTTTGCCACTCTTAAGAAATTTTCGGACAATGAATATTAACTCCTTTGACAATTATATAGGGCAGGTACTGTTATCCACACCCGCATGTAAGTAACCACGGGCTTAGGTCAAAGACTTGCCCAATATCCAACAGAAAGTGAAAGAAGACCTGGACAGTCTTTGAATTCCAAGTCCTTTGTTTCTACAGTCACCATAGCTCCTGCATATCCAGCTTTCTGTTGAACACGTCTCGTGTGTGTATATCTAACTAGCTACCTTGCTGGCCAACCCCGAACAGATGCCTTGTTGTATTAGAAATGGCTTCCAGATGCAGCCATCAATCCTCAGCCTCACCTGTCTTCCACTCTCATTTGCTGCCAACCACCCAGCCTGCTTAGGTGCCACGCCATCCATGGTAAATCTCGAGTGCCCCTCTGGTCCCTCCCCCAGCTGCTGGCCTGGGTCTGGTACGTAAGATAAGTGGAAGAAAGTATGTAAGTGTGTAACAAATAGCAAAGGTTTAGCAAATTACTGTCCCCTCCTACTTCATCCCTTATGTTCCAAGTTCCATCAATCAACAGCAACCACCAAATGAATGCCCATTGCTGATCTCGACCTGTAATTCAGCAGTGGCCATCCCCCATCCATAGAGATTGGTCTTATATGATTCTTTTGCCTGGGGAGACTTCCTTTCCCTCTCTGGCCTCAGATCTCTCCTAGATCTGAATCTAGGAAATAAGAAACCATGTCTCCATGGTCTCTTTGATCCCCTTGTGGTTCTGGTGCTTTCTTATTCAAGGGAATTGGGGGTTTACTTTATGTTTTGGCATCATGGTAGGTATTGGTGGTACTAAAGTGAATGAGACATGATTCATGTCCTCAAGGAATATGTTGGAAGGACATGAAACTATTTACAATACTAGCAGCAGCTCCAGAATTAACATACCAAAGGGGCTGATGTTCACAACATGTTGGAAAGCATGGAACGAAGGGCCATGATAACTTTGAAGATTTGCTTTAAAATAGCAAAGTGAAAAAATAAATAAATAAAATAAAATAAAATAAAATAGCAAAGTGATCCAAAGAAAACTTTTTTTTTTTTAAGATCTTATTTATTTGAGAGAGAGACAGTGAATGAGAAAAAGAGCATGAACAGAGGAAGAAGCAGACTCTATGCTGAGCGGGGAGCCTGATGCAGGGCTTGATCCCAGGACGCTGAGATCATGACTGGAGCAGAAGGAGGGTGCTTAACTGACTGATCCAATTACGTACCCCAAGAATACTATCATTAATATGTTATTAATAGGACTGACAAAATGTTGTTTATGCACATCAAAGGATATCGCTAATCTTTAAAATATGGAGTGACTTTGGATGAGCTAATGAATATTTTGGGGGGGGCAGTTAAAGGTCCCCCAGGCCACTTTTTTCCCTGTCCCCAGCACTGCCATGGTTCCATGACTTTGCCTGGTGAATGTTCACCTCTGGGTAAAAGATATCTTTTTCTTACAAACAAAAGGAAGGGTGGGAGAGGGTAAAATCCTGCCTTCCCCGACATGGCAGTGTTAAGCAAGGAAGCAGCATGGAGGATGGATGGTACCTGGGGGGAGCCTGACCTAGGTCTGCAACAAAAAGACACTAACTGGAAAGGCAGTCGGCCTCTCAGCCTTTCTTCCTCACACACTAGTTATCAAAGGTTCTGCAAGATGAGCCACTGACCTTGCTTTTGTCCTTTTTTTTTTGCTGGAGGTTGGGGAGGAGGAGGTGGTGGTGGCAGAGGTAAAGGGATGGGCGCTGTTGGGTCTTCCAGGCTCTTTTCCAATTCTCTCCTCTCTTTATCTTCCTGTACTTTATTCTCAAAGAATGTCCTTTGTGGCAAGAAAATATGGCTTTACAATGAATATCACTGGTAATTTTGGCCAGTTTGAGTGCTGACCTCCATTCAATATGTTTCAACAATTAACTCTGCTTTTTGGCTACTTAAAAACAAATCAGCTTTACTTTCCAAGGCCTCAAAAATAATGATGCTGTTGCAAAACTGTGTTCAACAGCTGAAATTAATTTTGGCCTGGAAATAAATGTTTAAAGATTTTAGGTGTTTTTTTTTTATTTGAGCCTATTTGTTTATATATTTAAAGTAAAATTTGAAGACCTAATTTGATTAATAGCTATTGGATTTTCTTTTTGAATAAATGACCATCAAAAGAAAAATGAGTCAAGAATAGAAAAACAGTGAAATATATAGTATAATGGGCAGGAACTCATTTTCGTTTTTTGGTGGGGAGAACTTAAAATGAATAGTTAAAAAAAAAAAAAAAACTTTTGGGAAGTCCCAAAAGGTACACACAAAAATAAACTCAAAATGGATGAAAGACCTAAATGTGAGACAGGAATCTATCAAAATCCTAGAGGAGAACACAGGCAGCAACCTCTGTGACCTTGGCTGCAGCAACTTCTTGCTAGACATGTCTCCAAAGGCAAGGGAAACAAAGGCAAAAATGAACTACTGGGACTTCACTAAGATAAAGAGCTTCTGCACAGCAAATGAAACAGTCAACAAGACTAAAAGGCAGCCTATGGAATGGGAGAAGATATTTGCAAATGAGTTATCAGATAAAGGGCTAGTATCCAAAATCTATAAAGAACTTATTAAACTTTCCTTTCTCCTCACATATATTTCTCACACTCCCCTTTTTTTTTTTTTTCTATCCCACTCCCCCCCTCACCCAACTTCACCCTCCACTTTTATTAATCCATTTTCTTTTTCTTTTATATTTTTATTCCCATTTATCTTTCTTTTTTTTCCACCCCATTACCTTGCCCCATTTCTCACCCCCTTCCCTATAACAACTTACATAATTACCCCCTCCCCCCCCCCAACACCCCCCAACCAAACACCACCACCCCCACCCCCTACAACAACTTTCCGTACGCCCCCCTGCCCCACTCCATACCAACCCACTCTGGACCAAACAGCCTCATGGCCAACAGACACATGAAAAAATGCTCAACATCACTCCGTATCAGAGAAATATAAATCAAAATCACAACGAGATACCACTTCACACTGGGCACAATGGCTAAAATGAATACTTCAGGAAACCTCAGATGTTGGGGAGGATGTGGAGAAAGGGAATCCTCTTACACTGTTGGTGAGAGTGCAAACTGGAGCAGCCACCCGAGAAAACAGTATGGAGGTTTCTCAAAAAGTCAAAAATAGAACTACCCTATGACCCAGCAATTGCACTACTTAGTGTTTATCCAAATGATACAAACATAGTGATTTTAAAGGGCACCTACACACCAGTGTTTATAGCAGCAATGTCCACAATAGCCAAAATATGGAGAGAGCCCCGTTGTCCATTGACAGATGAATGGATAAAGAAGATGCGACATATATGTATATGTTTATATACATGTATCATATATATGTATATATGAATATTACTTAGCCATCAAAAGGAATGAAATCTTGCCATTTGCAATGACATGGATGGAACTAGAGGATATTATGCTAAGCAAAAGTCAGTCAGAGAAAGACAAGTACCATGTGATTTCACCCATGTGGAATTTAAGAAACAAAACAGATGAACATGGGGGGAAAGGAAGGAAAAAATAAAAAAAGATGAAAATAGGGAGGCAAATCATAAGAGAGTCTTAACTTTAGAAAACAAACTGAAGGTTGATGGAGGGGAGGTAGGTGGGGAATGGAGTAATTGGGTGATGGGTGTTAAGGAGGGCACTTGATGTAATGACCACTGGGTGTTATATGCACCTGATGAATCACTAAATTCTATCCCTGAAACTAATAGTATATTTTAACTAAATTGATTAAATTTAAAAAATAAAGGATGTAATCCAGCAAGTCCAGAAAGAGGAAGATATAAGATAGAAGAAGCAGGACAATAAAGCATCTGTATAGTAGGCTAGAGGGGAACCAGTCCAGATGGGAGGTTTGGGGAAGAAAAAATCCAGGAGAAATGGAATGCCTTAGAACAGAAGGTCTGAGAAAAACTACCTTGGGGAATAAAATGGGCAATATGGTCACAGCAGATGAGAAGAAAAAACTCAAACGAAACCAAAAACAATTGAAAAAATGTTTTTACAAAGGTTATGATACAAGTCTGAAGCAAACTGAAATGTGATGAAGCTTTGAGAGAGAATCCAGTTGACCTTCGTTTGGCCAAGGGGCTTGTGGCATCGGACCTGCACAAGAGCAACAGGAGTGCTACTCTTACTTGGTTGGGGACTGAACAATATTTACTCAGCCCTAGCAAACACTTCCTTGCTTTTCTTTTTTTTTTCTTTTTAAAAGATTTTTATTCATTCATTCATTCATTCATTCATTCATTCATCCCTGAAAGACACAGAGAGAGAGGCAGAGGCATAGGCAGAGGGAGAAGCAGGCTCCCTGCAGGGAGCCCGATGCAGGAGTCCATCCCGGAACCCCGGGATCATGACCTAAGCCAAATGCAGACTCTGAACCACTGAGCCACCCCGGCATCCCATTATTTAAAAAATTTTCCTGTGTGAGGTGACGTGAGGCCCTTTGGCCTCTTTCCATGCTTAAGATTCAGTAAAAGTTTCAGTAGAAAGTTTCTCAGGAAAAGCATTAAGAATCCAGATGATGACCTTCCTGTGTCCCCACCGCATACACCACTTTTGAGGGTTTTATACTCTCACGTAGACACAGCGGATGATGCTTATAGTCAATCCTCCAACCACAACAGGCTCCCATGCTTTGCCCACAGATTGACTCTAATATGTGAAAACCAAGAAAGTGGGACAAAGAAAAATAAGGAAATTTAAAAAAAAATTTAAATAACCATATTTTAAAAATAAGATCTTCAGATGAGAAATGGCATTCTGTGCTAAGTTCCACTGCTTCAGCATGTGCTTCTTACCCAACTTCCTGACTGTACCCTCTAGGTAGGACAGACCTGTTTTGTTAGCAGGTGAAATAAAAAGTAAAGAGATAGTATTTGTACTGGACACTTCTGTTTGCAAGTGGAAGATTTACCTGAGCACCTGGTCCACCTCAGCCTGGTGGGAGGGCACCATGCCCCAAAGCTCCTCTGTGATGGTTCCGTTGACCCACTGCACAGCGGTGCTGACGGCCGCCAACCTTTCCACTTGCTCCGCCTCGGCCAGCTCGGGTGAAACGTTCTCATGGACTTCAAAGTGTGTGGAGATCACCACCGAACATATGTTCTGAAAATAACATAAACGGGTCCTACATTTTCCCTCCCTCTTGCAGAAAGGAAGAAATTAAACGTATCCAGCTTTTAATGTGCATGATATTTTATCACCAGTTTCAAAGGGAAAATGAGAATATATAATTTTCTTTGAGATATTTTTATAACTGTTGAAACTGTATGGAACCCAACTTCAGGGGAACATTTAAAATTAATACCTTATTAAAGTACACTTATAAAAATCTTACTCTGAACTTCATTTTTTTTATCACTACCTCTCCAATAAATAGCTAAAAGGATACAGATTTAATCATAATTATTTGCTTCCCAGGGACTGTAGCAAAATTATTTCTAACAAATATGCAGCAATTAAAATGACTTGTTATAATTATGAAAGCAAATTTTCTTTACATAGATCAGCATACATATCTATAAATCTATGTCAATCTATATATAAATGTGTGTGAATCTATAAACATACCTATAGATTTATAGACCTCATCACATTAATGATGTCAGAGTTTTGAAACTATTTTTGTCCCATTTCTCCGTCTTGGATCATCTTCAAGCCAGCATGCCATGTCTGTACCAATGTTACACTTAAACCTAATGAACCCATAATGCTTGTGTGGTTCATGCTTTATGTACGTGTGTATGTATATATTTCACAAATGCTGAATTTCAAAACATTAATTTTCTACAATTTAGACAATAAATGCAATGGAGTCAGGACACAGTGAAGAACACATTTAAGCTGCTTCGTACCTTGGGAAAATTTTGAATGGTGCAGAATATTTCCACTTGTAGGGTTGGAAGCCCCAGTCCATCCAATACATTTTTCCCCACTACTTTGCATATGGTGGGCGGCTTTGCAAGTTTAGCAAAGCAGTTTGCCTTCAACACACACAGAAAAACAAAAATTAAAATACCATGACTAATTTATCCTTAAAATTTACTCTACCTTCTTCTAAACTTCTTCCTAGTGTCCTCCTGCAGGGTGTGGGGGGTGGTGCAGCTAGGCTAGCAGCAGCTTGGTGGGAACTGCCCTGCCTTCACACGCTGCTGAGATTTGGATTAACCTGATGGCAGGGTCTCTAGTACACAGAGCAATTTCTTTTCTCTTGAACTCTCAGCAAAAGCTCACATACATTTTTTTATTATAATTATAAAACATGACTTTATTTACAAGCAAAATGAAACAGTATTTGAACAAACTTTGTTTTTTAAAAAAATTCTTTTATTCTCATAGTTACTTTAAAATCAGTGTTAAACGACAAAAACCCACAATATAATTTGAGAAGTCAAATCAATGTCTCCATTTTACAGAACAGTATCTAACAAAATATAAAACTTAAAAGCATCTAAAACACATACAGGTTTTTTTTTTTTTAAAAAAAAGAACAGATCATTGTATTGGCCACTGTTTTAAGTGCTTTACCCATGTTATTTATACCTTATAACAACCCTATGGAATCAGTGTTATTTTTAAAATCTCTACTCTACAAATGAGGAAACTGAGTATAGAGAAATTGAATCTTTTGCCCAAGATTGCAAAATAACCGGCTGAGCTGTGATTCACATCTAGGCAGGTTGACTCCAGAATTCATGCTGATCGCTATCCTTTGATGAGGGAAAGGGAGAAGGACATACCTTCAAATTCATAGCATTTTAGGAAGAAAAATTAGCATGAGGAATGTGGTTATACTCCCTATTTTTATCAGGAATATGAGGCCCACACTAACTCTGGCTATTCCAGAAGCAGATAATCTTCCATCTGCCACGCTGTCTTCCATTTCTGTTTTGGTGATGGTGCCTCAGAGTGAAAAATGTAGTACATGTGAATTTAAGGGAGGAGAAAAAAACAACAAAAAACTCAGGATTAGAGGCTTAGCCATATTAACTTACCCTGAAACAAAGGCCTTTGTTTTATTTAGATGATTCCAGCTACCCAAAGGAGGAGCATAGTTGTTTGCAAATTATTACTTAGTTTCTCTGAAGAGACTCCTACTTGGAAGGAAACTGTCCATCAAACATGACACTTTTTGGAAGGTTATCACATACATTTCTTAGAGACCCCTTGTCACTTTTTAGGAGGCCCTAATCCATCCTATTATTCAAGATACAAAAGTCAGCTGGTCTCTAGAACGCTGTAATGCAAACTTCAGAAACCTTCTGGGGTCCAGTTTTTTCCCTCCCCACAAGGCATCTGATATTTAAATGGTGAAGGCTTCTGCAGAGGCCGTATTTCACCAGAGGTTCACATACAGAACATTTTCAAAGAGGGTTGTCGGAACCTTAGTAATAGCAGTTTCATTGATGTGGGAAAGCCGAAGCCACTTGGAAGTGATCCAAGAAAGGGATGGAAGAGAATGAAGTGGAGGCAGAAAGCCACTCAAAAAACCTGAGTAAAAAGATACAAGATGGTGTGCCACACAGGGGAGCAGGAACTAGGGGGGGGGGGGGGTGAAGGCACACTCTCCTCGACCTCTTTATCACCAGACTGTATTTGGCTCTTTATTTGCATTCGTTGCAGACCAGGCCTCTGATCTAGCAGTTCAAAATCCAATGACCTCAACATACATAACAGGTCACCTACTACCCATCAGCAACGTGTCAGCTCACAGGTGTTGCCCCAGAACAACTAAAGCAAAAGTCAATTTTCAAGCCATCCATCTATGTATATATATTAAGTATATAAATATTTAAAGATTTCATTTATTTATTTTAGAGTGTGGGCAGCAGGAGAGGCAGAGGGAGAAGGGAAGCAGACTCCCTGCTGAGCGTGGAGCCCCCAGACAGGGCTCTACGCCAGCACCCTGAGATCATGACCCTGAAACCAAAAGTCAGAAGCTCAACCACTGAGCCACCCAGGCACCCCAAACCATCCATATATTTTAAGGATGATGGTTTGTATGTTACAGAGTAAGTGCCTCAATGAATTTAGATAGAGTCAGGAGAGAAAAATATTATCTAGCTTACATGTTGTGCATTATAGTGAATTTGATGCAACTAGCAATGAGGATCCACAATGTACAATATTATGTTAGGCGGAGAAAGGAGCTAACATTTTTAAGTATTTAATATGTGCCTTGAAGGAGGGTCTGTCTTGTTTGTCACTGTATCACACACTACAGTGCCTGCCTTTAGGATTCCATAAATTAAATCATGTATAAACTAATAGGTGTCAGACACATCCCAGGGATCTTTGTATACGTCGTGTCGTAAAACTCTCAAAACAACTCTGTAAGGTAAATCCTATTATCTCCATCCCACAGATAAGCAAACTGAGTTCCAGAAAAATTGTACAAAGTAAAATAACCAATGTTTTCATTATTCACTACTTGGTAACAGACTACCCCAAAATTTAGTGACTGGAGACATTTACTCACTCATGATTCTACAATCATGTACAATGTATGGGCTTATCTGGGTTATTCTTTTGGCTTGTCTTGTCTGAGATCTCCTATTCAGACTCAGTGATCTGGAGGCATGACTGGATCCAGAGTATCCAGGATGATTTAACTCATGTGTCTCAACCAGGATGGTTAGAACATCCTTGGGGCTGGCTGGGCATGTCTTTCTCACAGGATTTCCTGGAGGTACTCCATATGCCAGAGCCTCTCTACTTGATCTCTTTCTCCAGTAGGGTAATTGGACTTCCTGGCAGCATGGTGACTGGCTTTCAGGAGGGAGTGTCCCAATAGTACCAGCCTCAATATGGCAGCACTTACCATGCCTTTGTCTGCACATGCTTGGCAAGGTGCTCTTGATCAAAGCAAGTCCCGAGGCCCAGTTCCAAGCCAGTGTGGGAGGGATTTACATAAGATAGTCACAGTGGGGCAACATCAATATAATAGTCTGCTATTGCTACTAAGTGGCAGGGATGACAATCAAATCAGATCTGCGGACTCCCAATCCCAAACTCTTTCAACTAAGCTCTATGATGAGGGACTAAATAGTATTGCAATTGCCCCCAAGGGTCTTCCTCATTACTTAATTCCTCTAGTATGTAACAGAAGTAGAGAAGCGGCATTTGAGCTGAATGGTGGAGAATATGTATTTCACCAGGCAGACCAGGGGGAGAAGCCCAGAGCAGCTATGTTGGGTGGAGGAATAGGATAAGCCAAGGGGAGGGAAGTGAGGAACTGAGGTTTCTGAGCAAATGAGTGATGGTCAGATTTAGGATTAGGAATGCTGCTCTGGCAGCACGATTTGGGCTAGACTCAACAGAGGGAGAGACCAGATGAAAATATGGATGGCCAAAACCAGGGCAGCGACAAAATGAAAAGGACATTGTCTCCTTGCCAGTCCAATTCCTGAACATCCTTCAAAGTCCAAGCCAAAACTTTCTCAGACACTACAGCCTACAAGGATCTTTCCTCATTCCTGAATTCCTTGACAGGCCTATCAGTCTGGCACACAATCATTTATCACCTTATCAACAGTTAAGTACTCCAGTTAGTTTCTGTATCAGTGGCTTTTGTCCCTAACCAAGGTATAAGCTCCCAGAGAGCTGTACAAACCAAAGTCCTGGCTGCCTAGTAGACTGGAAAGGACATCACACTGAGGAAAGTTTCCAGTCTTAACTTTTGCACTAAGTAGCTGCGAGACAAGGGCTTGTGGTCTTTGTGAAACGAGGAAGTTAGACTAGTTGACTTTCAAGAATTCCTCCTGCAAGAGACAGTGGAAAGAGAATGGAATTCAGAGTCGTGTTCATTCCTCTGTGCCACAAATAAGTGCTTGAGTGTCCACCAGGTACCATGCAATGTGCTAGGTACTAGGGACACAGACCTGGTTTGACTCGTCACTGTCATTCACTGTGTCCCTTGGGAAAACCATCTAAATTCACTGGGCCACAGTTTCCTTATTTGTAAAATGAAAATCATAATCTTTACCTCTCAGTGGTCCTAATAATTAAGCGAAATGATATAGGGCAGCCTGGGTGGCTCAGCAGTTTAGTGCCTGCCTTCAGCCCAGGGCCTGACCCTGGAGATTCCGGGATCGGGTCCCATGTCGGGCTCCCTGCATGGAGCCTGCTTCTCCCTCCGCCTGTGTCTCTATCCCCCTCTCTCTGTGTGTCTCTCATGCATAAATTAATAAAATCTTTAAAAAAAAAAGTGAAATGACATAAATCATATAGCACTGCGAGCTCATCCCTCCTCACTTCGCCCCAACCTTCAGCTAGGCCACGACTGAGTAAAATAAACCTTCAGGGAGCATCCTCCCTATCCACTGCCTCAACAGCACGTGGTTTTGAATCTTGTACACACATTGCGCTTCTTTACTGCGTTTACACACTCTGCTGTCATATCGCCTCACCTGACTGCGAGCTCCTACCAGTCCCAACCGCGCTGCCTCCCAGAAGGAAGGCGCTGGCTTAGTGCTTCACGGATCTGGGAATAACACGCTTGCTCAAGCCTCGGGGCTTAGGGCTGTTTAGGTACCTGATCTTGCGCTGGGCACGCGGACCAGGCAGGTGTTAGGGAAAAGCCCCTGCTGTCTACGTTGCTCGCAAGCCTAGGCAGGGGCTCATCGTGTGCAGGAAATGACTTAGGAACACTCGAGGGCAGTCAGTCCAGGCGAAGCGGGCAAGACCGACGGGGATTTGGAGTTTGGGTGCAGCTGGTCGGGTGGGGCTGGGCATCCAGGAGCAGAAGGGCGCGCACTGCCAGGAGAGCGCAGGCTTGGAAGTGGGACTTGGGAGCAAGGAGCGCAGGCTGGGCACGAGGCCCCGGGGAAGGCTGAGCCAAGCTGCAGCAAACGCCAGGGCGCTCCTCCGCGGGCGAGCGGGGGCCGCAGCAGGCGGGCAGCTGAGCTACGCGGTGTTAAGATCTGCGTTTAAAAAACACCTGGCAACGCACCGGGCGGGCCGACGCAGAGGTGGCGAGGAAGCCTGCCCGCCCCGAGCCCAGACCGCCCCCGTCCTCCGGCCGCTTGCACTTTCTCGCTCGGGATCCCTGCCACCCCGGCTCCGCGCACCGCTCGGCTCCGAAGCCCGCGGGGGCGGCGCGCGTGCGCATCTCTGCGGCGCAGGCGCGTGGCGTTGCCGCAGCGCGAGGCGGGGGGAGGGGGAGAGGGGCTGGAGGGAAGCGTGTTTGTCCCAGGTCCCTACCAGGTGCCCGTAGACGTCGGCAGGCTGGAGGTAGAAGGTGGAGTTGAGCAGCTCTTCCAGCCTGCGCGGGACGTCGTTCTCCCGGTAGTACTCCATCGCCTGCTGCTTCAGCTTCTGCAGCTCCCTAGCGGTCCCAAAGCTACGGCCGCCGCCGCCTTCTCCCATGGTAGGAGATTTAAGGCTACAGCGGGGGTTAGCCTGGGGGCCTGCGAGCGTCCTGCCCGTCGCTAGGCAACGCAACGAGATCCCCGACCCCAGCTCTCGCGAGGTTTCCAGCCGGGTCTCTGGCTGCGGCGGGAGCTGCGCTCTGCTCCCCCCCGCCCTCCTGCCTCCCCGCCGGGAGGGGCTGGGCCCGGGGCTCGGGTTCCCTTGCCCCCCTCCCCCCCCGACGCTCTTGCTCTGCTGGCTTCGTCTTTCACCACTTTCCCCCACAATTTCCCCGATGGGGGTCACGCTCTCAGGAAATGCATTCAGCGGAAGCGTGGGAGCCTTAGCCCCTGCCTGCAGGGGGAGACCCGAGCCTCGGGCGGCGCGTCGTGGTGCCCCCGCCCCGGGCCATCGTGCCCTCCCCGCGCCCCCTCCCCGCGCCCCCTCCCACTCCCTCGTGGCTTAGGGTCCGTGCGCTCCTCCGGGTGGCGAGGGCGTCCCGTGCCGGCCCACGCTGGGGGCGGATGTCCCCTCCCTGGGCCCTGGAGGTACCAGGCATTAGCCGCCTGCCCTGAGCCTAGCGGTGGGCACCCTGCGGAGGGCAGGAGAGAACCGGCTCCGCGCCCCCCCCATCCCCACCCCCACCCCCACCCCACCCCAGGAGATCAGTGGGAGGGAAAACCAGTGTGGCCCCCAAATGGTTGTGGCTCGGACAGGCCTAGGGGTGGAGAATGATACAGGCAAGACTTGGGAAGGAAAAGTGGGAATATAAGACGTCATTGGGTCCTATCCCTTCTCTTGTATCCTGGGAGGCTGCTTCAGTCTCTGCCCCCCCCCCTTTTAAAGATTTTACCTATTTATTCATGAGAGACACACAGAAAGAGGCAGAAGGAGAAGCAGGCTCCCTGTGGGGAGTCTGTTATGGGACTCCATCCCAGGACCTGAGCCCAAGGCAGATGCTCAACCACTGAGCCACCCAGGCGTCCCTCTCTGCCCTTTTAAATCCCGCTGCCTCCATGGCTTCATTGCACCTGCCAGGTGTCATGCGCAACGATAGAGCTTCTTGTGCCTTCTGCTCTAGATACTTCCGCAGGAATGGGCCGAGATGGACAGGGTGTTCTCGTGCTGCTCTTGCCTGTTTGTGTTCCTGACTTTCGCAGATCACCTAAAACATCTGTGCTGTGTTTTGCTCATCTGGAAAGCAATCCAATCTAGTCTGCCTGCTTCACAAGTCACTTAGGATAAAATGAGAAAATGAATGAGAAAACAATTTAAAGCCAGATAGGTATTTTCGCTAGGTGCATGTAGCTGTATAAAATATGTGATTCAATAAATACTGTTATAGGAACCCAGACATGTACCTCTTTCTGGACTCCCTCAGAGTTGTCTCTGAATCTCTAATGGAACGTCTCACTTTCTGGGGTGCGACAGATCATCACAGGCCTGCCTTATCCTCCTTGCTAAGTGGAAATCTCTCCATGGTAGGACCACAGTCTGAGTCACCCTCACAAACCCTCAGAGCGTGGGTAGGCAGGGGACAGAGCATGTGCTCTGCTGCATGGGTGTTGAATGAACCTTTATACAAAAGAAGCCAGTGCAGTTGCTGCTGTTGTGCCCATTGCACTGGGTGCCTTTCCTCCTAGCCCCGTGGATGGAAGGCACCCCCTCTCCTTAGGTGCCCGTCCTTCAATGCCTGGCTGAGTCCCACATCTGCAGAGAAACCATGCTCCACACCAGCTCTCCTCACTCAGCCCTTCCTTTTTTCTGAACTCCTTCCCCGCCTGTAGCCTGGATCACAATGCTTAGCCCTCAGAGAGATCTTGACTCATTTGACCCTTTAATGGAAGGTTGAAAGTATCCTGGGCTGGGACCACCACATTTTGGAATCTCGCATCTATAACCCACTGGCTTCTAGCTTCCGTGAGGACAGAGATGTGGTCTGTCTTGTCCACCGTTGTGTCCCCAGTAGATTACCTTACAGAATCATTGCTCAGTAAATATACGTTGAATGAATGAATGGATTTTATATATAATAAATGCTTAATAAATACTTAACTCGAAATGTTTTCAAATTGAGTGAATAATGAATACAGCAGGCTGGCTGGAGCAAAAGATTTGTTTTCAGTAATGAGACATCAGGATGGAAGAGTAGGGTATGCAAGATGGAAGTGGCGTTTTAGAGAGTTAGCAGGCAGCAGTGAGTAAGCTTGGTGAGTGTTTAGTTGTACAGAGAGCAGGAGACCCAGGTAGAAAATCATGTCGATGTAAGGGCCTGAACCACACTGGTAGCAATGGCAAGAGACGGATGACAGTTAATAGGAAGAAGAATGGCAGTCATTGTGAGTGAGTGGTTGTGGGGTTGGGGGACCAAAGATAATGCTATTGAGGATGGCTTGTAGAGTTCTTTTACAGTTGATAGAAATGGGGTAGATGAACAAGTGATGAGGTCTTGATGGAAGGAACATGATGCATTTGGTTTTAGATGTGTGGAACTTGGGGAACACTGGTATCTCAGAGATCACTCATTCATCCATCCATGGAACTTAAAGTTGAAATAAAAATAGATGAATCCTCTGGAGGGAAAAGCGAAAAAAAAAGTCCTCTTGAAGCAAGGACCTAAATACTGAGAAAGGAATATATTTAGGACATAGGAGGAGGGTAAGGTGCTATAACAGGCAATAAGCAAAAAGAGCTTAGGGAAAAGAGAAAAGAGTCCAGCTCATGAGGTCTGAGGCAGAGAGTTTTGTGTTAGATGTGCATGTGTATATACGCATAGAATAAAATCTGAAACAACATACTTTAAGCACATTAATTCTGTTGTCCTAGGGTAATGAGATCATTGGGAGCTTTAATTTTCTTTTTATATATTAGTAGTATATGATTTTCCTAAAATGAATGTACTACTTGTATGACTTTGAACAATGACATTAAAATATTTGAAGGAAGAATATCAAGTCACATTAAAGATTGAGATTAAAGACTGACAAAAATCATTAAGAACACAGCTGTTTCCTTATAGAATCATCCCATTCTCTTAAAAATGAAACTACATGTGGGCCAAATAAGTAGCTAAAACTACCATCGTTGTTTACTTCTGTCATTCAGCCCATTGAAAAATATTTATTGAATGTCTGCCATGTGCCAGATACTGCTCTGGGCACTGAGAAGAGCTGTGAATAAAATAGGTAACATTTCTTCCCTTTATGGCACTTAAGTTCTCGTGGCCCTTGATCCTAGCACTTATATCCTGGTGAGCCTTCAGGACAATAAACTGCATTAAGAGACGTGAAAGCATTTTGAAAAGTTGGTATGCTAGGGGTTTATTAACATCCTATTAGTGTTGACAGATCCAGATGAAATAAAATGACTTTTCACGACTATTTCAATTTTCTTATTTTCTATAGCTATTAGAAGCACTGGGTTTTAGCTGTAAAATATATTCATGTGCATGACTACTGTATACATACTTCTCACATTCCTTGTTTTAGTACCTTAGTGACTGTACTTCCATTTCCTATTTGAGACTGAATGTCCAGGGGCGCTCACAGAGCATCAGAGCTTGAAAGGCTTTGAGTGCTGCTAACCCTAAAAGTATAAACAGGGGTTTTATACCTATAAACAGGTGTGAGTAGGGGGGGAGGGAAAAGAAAGGAAGGAAAATCAGAGGAAAGTCTCAGGGGATAAGGAAAGTTTTGGAACATATCCCAGGATGGAGGATGGGACTATACTCTCCTCCTTTAGAGTGAGGACACAGACATGACTATTGGCTTCCCATGGGTGGGGCGCCAGCAGTGGAAGAGATGTATGGTGTAGGACAAGGGCTGTTTGAGGATTAGAAGACAGATTGGAGTCCCAGCTTTCCCCAAAATCTAGATCTCATCAATCAGTGTTTCCTAAGCTTTTTGAATATGAAGATTCCTTTTTAACAACAAAAAATTGAGGAAACCGCCTCTTCCATGCAATAGTGGTTATAAGCAGTGAGGATAAATTCAGTAGTATGTCTGGAGCAATTGTATTTCATTCATGTAAACTCCATCCATACAAGAAAGAATACATGTATAGGCGAGCCTCTCTCCAGTGTCAGGTGTGTGTCTGATGAACATTTGGCATGGTGAGCCCCTTGCCCACAGTGTGCGGGCTTCTCAGGAACCTCCACTGAGAACCATAGAACCAGGCCTCTCCATCCTAGACCTCAGTTGTTTTGTAGCTCTGATCCAAGATAAAACATCGGGACCTATTAGCCTAGTCCTATCTGCTAAATGAAGGCCCTTCATGGAGGAAATCATTCTCCAGTCTGCATTTCAAAAAGGATTTCTAAGCCATGTCAGACGTTTCCTAAATGAATGAGGATAAAGAAAAATATATTTGTTCATTTTCTGTTAATCCTTTCCAACACCTTTATATAAATTGGAACTTGTTTGCCATGACTTTAATGTTCAGAAGTGATTGCTTAGATGTAATTTTGGGGTTGCTATCAAGTGCTTGTTAATTCTTGCCTGCATTTGCCATCTGTGTTGAATATCATTTTTCATAGGGAACTAATGAACATGATTGCAGGTGCCTTTAATCATAGAATCATAGAAACCGGAGATAGAATAGATGGAAATGTTGCCTTTTCCCCATCTAGAAAATGGGATTAATAATGTTACCCCTCCTCGCCCAGTTGTCATGAATGAGAAATAGGATTGCCAAGCTAATTGCAATATAAAGAGCTGTAAATTAAATACTAAGTAAGAGAGTAGGAATGATTTGACTAATAATAAAATGTTTTTTGTGATTTGATTTTTTTCATTACCGATGTCTCCCAGCAGTAGTCATTACCCCTGTGCTAGAAATAACAACAAAAACCAGGGCAGCAACTACATTGATGGAGAACTTTTGTCTGCCTGGGGTTTTTCTTATATCATCCCATTGAATCTGCAAAGCAACCACAAAAGGTAAGCAATTGGCCTGAAGGAAGTGACATAGTGAGCAAATGCTGGAGATGGAATTTGAACCCAGACCCAGAGGACTCCAGT